TTTTAGTTTCCTTGAAATGAATTGAGAACTTAGTCTGAGTATAGAATCCCCTTAGAATTTTGCAGTGTTTTTTCATATCTCACCAGTTGTCTTGGTCATATGCCTAATCTGAGCTTTTCTCAAGTTTGTCTGAAATCTGAAGATTAGTTTTCATAGAAACAACTTTCTTTTCACATTCATATTTTATTGAAAAGCATGATATTTAATTGGGTTGCATAAATACAGAAAATTCAACTGCCAGAAATTAGTTAATAAACAAATATTGGTTCTTGGTGAAGATACCCTCTCTCTGTTGGGAGCATAGATACAAGCTATAGCAGACTGCTCACCATGAGCATCTAGCATGCCATGGCATTGGTTGGTATTAGATAATAGCAGTTAATCTGACAAGTTCATTACCAGGCATCAGTTATGAGAACCTCTGTGATATAAATGTGAAAGTATCAAAACTCATTATCTTAAGGCAACATGAGTTGAAACAGAAAATCAAAAATAATGAACTGAAAAATATTCAACCTCTGACTTTGAAGGGGGGCCTGCAACAAAATCACACACAATAATCAGTGGATTTATTTAGAAGGGGGATTGGCCAACTTTTTCTGTAAAGGGCCAGATAGTTAAATATTTTAGACTTTGTATGCCATGCACATGTCACACATGGTCCCTGACACTTCTTTTCCCTCTCCCTCTGCCCCACTTTTTTTTTTTTTATGACCCTTTAAAACCATGAAAAATGTTTTTAGCTGCTGACCAGCTGGTTGTGGGCTGGATTTAGCTCATGGACAGTACTTTACAGATTCCTGAAACAGAACATTAATAGCCAATTGGGGAGACACTCCCTCTCAAACAAAAATATAGAATAGCTAGGAAAAGGCTGAATGGGAAATGTATGAGGGTTTATATAAAGAAATCTGTGTTAATTATATTGAAAATCATAAGAAATCTGAGTAAATGGAGATACATGTCATGTTCCTAAGAGGAGCTCCTCTTGTGTTGCGGAACAGTCCCCACAGTAATCCAGAAATGCACTGCAGTCCTAAGTAAAATTATACCAGGATTTTTTACAGTAGAATGTTATAAGCTTATTTTTAAATTTATTTGCAAGAGAAAAATGTTTAACAGTAGCCAACAAAAATTTGAGAAAACATTGAAGGGGCTTCTCCTGCAAAGTATCAATATTGGCCATACTTAATTCAGCATAGCATAGGCATAGGAATAAACCAGTAGAACAGAGAAGGATCCAGATTTGTTAAATTCACTCAGCCTCATTTTTTTGTTTTCAATGTATGTTTGGGGATTTTTTAAGTGATTTTCTATTCATTTATTTTCTTCTGTGTTTAGGTATAAGTGTGCTAGCAGAGTGTCTGGACTGTCCTGAATTGAAAGCAACTGCAGATGACTTTATTCATCAGCATTTTACTGAAGTTTATAAAACTGATGAATTTCTGCAACTTGATGTTAAGCGAGTTACACATCTCCTCAACCAGGACACTCTGACTGTGAGAGCAGAGGACCAGGTGACTAAATTGTCTTCTCAGTTTTTTCTTAGTAAAATATCTTTTCTGATTTCTTATGTTTCATGTTTGGATACATGACAAGGAAAAGAATCATAGTAGGAGAGAATGTGTTCTTTACATTAAACGGAGTATTCCAACGTCTTTTTCATAGGAAAAGTAAGTCTTGTGTGCTTGTAAGGCTTGCTCTTTGAGAGAGAGACCATTTGGTAGAAATAAAACTATTGGGTACCATGGTAGGAAGAACAGTGCTTCCCCCCAAGGATATCCACATCCTAATTGTCAGAACCTGTTGTGAATATGTTACCTTACATGGCGGTAGGATTTTGCAGATGTGGTTAAAGATCTTTGAGATGGAGAGATTATCCAGGTGGGCCCAGTGTAATCTCAAGCGTCCTTAAATGTGGAAGAGGGAGGCAGAAGAGTCAGTGTCAGTGTGATGCAGTGTGAGAAAGACTTGGCTGGATATTGCTGGCTTTGAAGATGGAAGAAGAGGCCGCAAGCCAACGAATGCAGGAGGAGGCTGCTGGATTCTGAAAAAGGCAAGGAGATGCTTTCTCCTCTAGAACCTTCAGGCATCCCCGCTGACACATGGATTTTGACCCATTGTGACCTATTTTGGATTCAACCTCCATAACTGTCAGATTAAACTGCCAGAGGTGTGAGCTGGGTGGACTAACACTTAGAAATGCAGTCATTCAATTATTCCCTGTTTTCAGTCCCACATCCTTCTCTGTATTTTATTTAATTTGTTAAATCAGCAGTAGCAAACTAATAGAGGTACTGTAGGATCATATGCTTTGAGTTACTTTTGTTCTCCAGATAAAAGATTAGCACTGGGCCATTTTTGTCCAGTCTTCTTCATGGCCCAGCGTATTATATTAGTCTACAAGTTGACAGGTTGGACATGGAAGACCTGACTAGGGAAAAACAAACAAACAAAAATCTTAGTTCTGTGACCCATGACTAAAATTAACTGACTTATATGCATTATGGAAAGGGAATTAAAAACGTAACTAGTCTGAAGAAACCTGGCAAACATTATCTACAGATTATTATTATATCAAGCCTGATGAGCACTATTTATAGGATAATACCGTCAGTGATAAGTCACGTTGATATGCATGGCACCTCCGTAGTCTTCCTCCCAAAACACAGTGCTCCTAGTCTAATCACGAAAAAAACCTCAGACAAACCCAAATTGAGAGACATTTTACAAAATACCTTACCAGAACTCACAACTGTCAAAGTCATCAGAAACAAGGAAAGTCAGCAAAACTGTTAGTCCTTAAGACCCTAGGTGACATAATGAGTAAATGTGATGTGCTCTCCTTTATGGGATTATGGGACAGAGAAAAAAATTAGATCAAAAACTAAAGAAGTTTTTTTGGAAATACGGACTTCAGTTAATAATGGATCGTTAGCTGTGATAAAAGTATCATACTAATGTAACATTTTAACAGCTGGGTGCAGGGTATATCGGAACTTTGTGTGCTATCTTTGTAGTTTTTCTGTAAATCTAAAACTTCTCCAAAATTAAGAGTTTTTTTTCTAAAAAAAAAATAGACCAATTCCCATTAAAAATTAATTCATATGGAGGTCAGAACTTAGGCCATATTAACACCAATCTCAAATTAACTAATTTAAGTAACTCAAATGTGGCAGGTGTGTTTTCAGTGTGTCTGAACTAGTGATTTGTGGGGACACCTGACTGGCTCAGTCATTAGAACATGTGACTCTTGATCTCATGGCTATGAGCTCAAGCTGCATGGTGGGCATGGAACCAGTATAAAACTAACAATAACAATAAAAAACTAGTGATTCATAAATCAGGTTGTGTTGATGAACTTGGACAGGTAAATACTACAGTATTATTTTGAAAAAAATTCTTATATAATCTGTAATGTATTTTTTAAACATAGAATTCTTATAAAGTTTCTGGAATGTAGATAAGTCTATCAGTTCACAATTCAGGAATATCATATTGAAATAAAATCATAGATGAACTTCATTTCTCTCGGGATGGACATCCTCTTAGGAAATTAAAGTATTCCCGTGATACCAAGTAAACATATATTGACACTATCATTGACCAGTAGATTTATTTCAGTAGAAATGTACATCACAGCTCCTTCTGAAAAAAGGTTATATTTTGTTTCAAAAAATAAGTTCAATATCCTCCCTGTCATTACATCATATAGTAGTAATTCTAAAAAATATATTACTGACAAGAATCATTAGAGCAGTGTGTAAGCTGTTCTGAAGCACAGGCAAGTGTTGGGGAATGAAAGAAAATGTCTGATAAAATATTGGGAATAAGTGGTTGCGTCTTTATGAGACCCTCCCCTGACCTTCAGTGTGAGAGTAAAGATAGGTAATTGGAAATGTTTCTGCCTTCTAAGAACTTTACTGTGCTGTTTTTCCCCCCTTAGGTTTATGATGCTGCTGTCAGATGGCTGAAATATGATGAACCTAATCGCCAGCCATTTATGGTCGATATCCTTGCTAAAGTCAGGTTTCCTCTTATATCAAAGAATTTCTTAAGTAAAACAGTACAAGCTGAACCACTTATTCAAGACAATCCTGAATGCCTTAAGATGGTGATAAGTAAGTTGCCTTAATACCCATTTATAACCTGATCCTGTAGGCAGTTTCTCATGGGCTTAAAACCCTTTAGAATGGATCAGACTCCATTCAAGACTTAGCTCTTTAATTCTTTTTTTTTTTTTAAGTTTGTTTGTTTGTTTATTGAGAGAGAGAGGGAGGGATTGAGAATGTCCAAGCAGGCTCTGAGCTGAGAGCACAGAGTCCAATGCGGAGCTCGAACCCACACACTGTGCTGAAACCAAGAGTCAGACACTTAACTGATCTAGCCACCCAGGTGCCCCAAGACTTACCTTTTTTAGATTAATAATCCACTGGGGTTCTTAGCTGTCTACCTGGAGGAGACTTAGCCCCAGCCCTCATTTTATAGGAATGTGTATGATAGAAGGTAAAAATTACTTACGCCTTGTCTCCTTTTGTGTATAATAGCTTTCATGTACTTTGTGCCTAGTGTTTCCTTTTTATTTTACTCAGCCAAATAATATACTGTGATCACTTTTTTTTTTCCTTTTTGACCAGCCAACAACTGCCATATTTTGTCATTTACTTAGTTTTTCTTGGCTTGCAGGCTAAGTCCCAACCCCTCTGTAAAATGCTACTTAATAAAATTGTACAATTAAACAATCTGTTGCTTTTATTTCTTGTAAACATCCTTCATAGAGCCTTCTACGTATTCCAGTGTGGACTATTTGCACTCTAACCCTGAGACACTCTTCTTGTCCTGGAACTTCCCTTCTCTGCCATCCTGGGATGCCCTTTCACTCCTCTCCTTTGTTATATCCACTGCCTTCCCGGACCTCAGGTCTTCCCCTTTTTTAATTTTCCCTGTTGAATGGAATGTATCCCATAACAGGTTCCTGAGAAAGAGTATGTCATCAGTAAATATTAGGAGACTTGATGAATCTCCTGTATTTATTTTACCATAAAGTGTTGAAGGATAGTAAAACTGGGTATATAGAATTATGTTGAAAATCATTTTAGAAAATTCAAGTTAGAATTTTGAAGGCATTGCTCCATTAACTAGCTGCCAGTGTTGTTTTTCAGAAATCTGATGCCAGTCTGATCCTTTTATTTGTTATTCCTCTTTGTAATTTTTTTGTAATATCCCTGATGTTTTGGAGGTTCACAATAATGTAACTTTGTGTTTTGTCTTTTGTTTTTTTAGTAATCATGTTGGACATTGTCTTTTCAATCACAAATTTCTCATTTCTCTGTTACTGGTATTGTGATTCTTCAATACAACTCTTGTCTCTGCTTCTCTGATCTGTCTTCCAGGAGACAGCCTTAATTTTTCTATCATCACTTTTATTTCAGCTATTATTTTTAATTTCTGTGAGCTTTTACCTATTCTCTAATTCCTTATTTCGTGGTTATAATACCTTATTCTGAAGTAGCATTATAGTGCCTTTCATGTTTATCTTGTCTGCATTTTCTGTATTACCTTTGAATTTTGTTTTTCTGTTTTTGTTGTTGGAAGCTTTTCTTAATGTGTTATCTGTGAGTCATATTTATAAGACTAAGTTATTAACAAAGCCAATAGCACTGTATATGTGAGTGGGCTCTTGGTTCTTGGCCTGAACTGTAGGGTAATCAGTGTAAACACACTTTTTTTTGTTTTATTTTTGAGAGAGATAGCAAGCAGGGGAGGGACAGATAGAGAGGGAGACAGAATCCCAAGCAGGCTCCACACCATCAGCACAGTGCCCGATGTGGGGCTTGAATTCACAAACTGAGATCGCGACCTGAGCCGAAACCAAGAGTCAGGTGCTTAACCGACTGAGCCACCCAGGTGCCCCAACACACATTTTGTTTTTAATTGAGGACCCCTCCAATGTTAGTATCTATAAATATTTTCTCAGATAGTTGGATACAGGCATTTGGGAGCTGGGTGGGGAATATTTTGATATGTAGACTTTCACTTAACCCTTGTCATCAGGCTCATACCCTTCTCTGTGTGATTCTCCAAAGACCAGTCATCATATATCCTACTTGGAGAAGGCATGGCAGGTTACTGGACTGTGCAGTAGGGGAAGGAAACCTGACAATTAAAGTGTTGTTTATTCAGAATTTTAAAGCTCTCTTGTTTTCATCCCCACCCCACTTTCTGGGGGTACTTCCTATCTCCCATTATGAATCTTTCCAGGCTTCTGCAAGATAATTTGGCTTGCTTCTCATTGGTGTCTCCTTCCACAACCATCTCTTTTTCTTTAATGTTTTATTTTTGAGAAAGACAGAGCACGAGTGGGGGAGGGGCAGAAAGGGAGACACAGAATCTGAAGCAGGCTCCAGGCTCTGAGCTGTCAGTACAGAGCCCGATGGGGGCTTGAACTCATAAGCTGTGAGATCATGACCTGAGCTGAAGTCAGACACTCAACCAACTGAGCCACCCAGGTGCCCCCACAACCATTTCAGGTTAACATTCTATCTGCTATATGTCTTCACTTACTGAGTTTCAGGGTTATATAGATCTTCTAGTATTATCAAAGGTAGAGTTTGTTTCTTGCTTCATTGTTGTTTGGGATGGCTTTCAAGAGAAGAAGAGAAAAAGGTCTTAAAACTGGCACATTCAGTCTCCAGTTCTTTTTATTGTTAAGTCTGAATCAGTGTTTTTGTATTATTAACTCTGAATCTAGTGTTAGGGATGTAGTTGGAAATGTCTTCCTTATTCCAAGGTAATTTTTTAATTTCATAAATTCTTGTCTTGTGCACTTAACGGATTTCTTATTGTCTCCTTTTTAAAAAAAATGTTGAAACCTTGTATCCAACTGAAATTTATTTGAATACAGAAGAGTCTATCTTTTTTTCCTCTTTAAATGTCTGGCAAGATGGCCCAATATCATTATTGAATAATTTATCTTTTCCCACTGATTTGAACATCATGAACTAAATTTCTCCTTATCTGTATACACACAAAAATCCGTTTCTCTTCCATTTCATTCTGGTACCTTTTAATTATTGTTGTACCTCATTTAAATTATATGTCCTGGAGAATTTATAATTTTCTTTTTATAAACTCCTACACTTCTTAAAATCTTTTTTTAGATATTTTTGTTGTTGCTGTTGTGAATTGTATTTGCATTTGTCATTACTCATTTCTTTTTAAAACTTGTTCAGTTGATTTCTCTTGCTTTTTCTAGGGATTTAATCTTTTATCTGCAAGTAATGATAATTTTAGATTCTCCCCTCTACTATTTATACCTTTTATTTTGTTACATTGACTACTTTCAATAGCCTTTTCATGACAGTGTGCAGTTAACTAATAATGATAAATGGCAGCCTTGTATTTTCCTTTCTGGAAATACCTTTAGTCCTAGTGGTGTGGATCTGGGTTCTGACTGTGGTTGGCTGTGTGTGTGTGGTACTAGATGGATATGAGTAGAGTGGGTGTCTATAATTAAGACAGTAGTTTCGTTTTCCTAAACTCTAAACTTTAATAAGCACCCATCAGTTGGTTTTTTTTTCTGAGAGTTTGAGGATTTTGGCAAATATTGCTATAAGTGTTGTTTTATTTTTTTTTTAATTTTTTTTTCAACGTTTTTATTTATTTTTGGGACAGACAGAGACAGAGCATGAACGGGGGAGGGGCAGAGAGAGAGGGAGACACAGAATCGGAAACAGGCTCCAGGCTCCGAGCCATCAGCCCAGAGCCTGACGCGGGGCTCGAACTCAGGGACCGCGAGATCGTGACCTGGCTGAAGTCGGACGCTTAACCGACTGCGCCACCCAGGCGCCCCTATAAGTGTTGTTTTAAAATTTAGTATGCATATTTAAGCTGTACAGAAAGGTATAAAAACTAATAATGAAAATATTCATGAACTTACCTAGCACCTTGAGAAGTCAGTACAGATGAAGCATCCAGTGTGTTCCTCCCCAGTGACGGCTCACATTCTTCTACCTAGGAGGAAACAATAGCCCTGAATATGGTGTTTGATCAGCATGCAGTTCTTTACCATATATATAAGCAACATTTAGTATTGTTTTGCCTATTCCATATATATAAGCAACATTTAGTATTGTTTTGCCTGTTCCTAAATGCTACATGAATGGTAGGTATACTGTATGTATTCTTCTGCAACTTGCTTTTTTTTTTTAATTTTTTTTTTTAACGTTTATTTATTTTTGAGACAGAGAGAGACAGAGCATGAACGGGGGAGGGTCAGAGAGAGGGAGACACAGAATCTGAAACAGGCTCCAGGCTCTGAGCTGTCAGCACAGAGCCCGACGCGGGGCTCGAACTCACGGACCGCGAGATCATGACCTGAGCCGAAGTAGGCCACTTAACCGACCGAGCCACCCAGGCGCCCCTGCAACTTGCTTTTAATATACTTTTTTAATGTTTATTCTTGAGGGAGAGAGAGACACAGTGAGAGTGGGGGAGGGGCAGAGAGAGAGGGAGACACAGAATCAAACTCATGAGCCATGAGATAATGACCTGAGCTGAAGTCAGACGCTTAACTGACTGAGTCACCCAGGCGCCCCCTGCAACTTGCTTTTAAAAATACTTTCTAATTTCCATTATGTTTTCTCTTGTGACCAATAAATTTAGTAGAAGTATGCTTTTAAATGCCTTTGGTCATGGATTTTTAACTTAATTGCATTGTGGTCTAAGAATGTTATGATCAGATACCAGTTTTTTAATATTTATTGAAATTTGTCAATATTTGTAAAGTTGTTTTGTATCTTTTATGACTAATTTTTTGGTCTAGTTAATTTATCATTTACTGACAAAGTTGTATTATATTCACCCACTATAGTGGATTTCTCCATTTCTCCTGTAATTCTGTTAATTTTTCTGTTCTATATTTTGAGAGTTCTAAATATGAGTTTAGAAATGTTATCTTCCTGGTGAATGCAACCTTTTATCATTATGTAATGATCTTCTTTTTCCCTAATAAAGATTGTTGCCTTTCTCTATTTTATCAGATATTTATATAACTAAACCACTTTTTATCTGGTTACTATTTTCTTAGCTTATATTTATGCATTCATTTCTTTTCAAACAT